AAAAATGTGGAGAATATCCTATCTATCTCCCGGTAGCTGTCTGAGAACCAAGGGATTGGTCTCTTATCAGTTCAGGCCAAGAGAAAAACCAAGGTGCTAGGGTGAGGTAAGAGCAGGCAGGACAGAATCTTATACAAGGTATTTAAGCCAAGGTTATTCATTCATTCAACAAGCATTTATTAAGAACCTGTTATGTATGAGAGGCAGAGTGTGGTGAATAAAAAAGCCTGTCTCAGAATTAAGAAAACAGGGATTTCAAGACCAGCCTCTGACACATAGCATACCAGCTGTGTGTCCTCAGTCAAATCATTTAACCTCTCATCATTCCAGACAACTTTGTAAGACTATAAATTGCTGAGCAATTGCTAGTTTGAATTGATAGAGGGAGTTTTCCTCACCAGGTGCCCCTTAAATCAGGGATCAGCAAAGAACTGTCTTCTGGGCCAACTGTAGCCCATTGCCTACTTTTGTACAGGCCCAGGAGCTAAGGATTTTTTTTTTGACATTTTTAAATTTATTTAAAAATGTAAAAAACATTCTTAGCTTGAGGCTGTTCAGGTGGTCTGGATTTGGCCCTCAGATATAATTTGTTCACCCTTGAGTTAAATCAATGAAAACACAGATCTGGACCTCACTCAGATGAAGAGGGGGAGCAATTTGTGAAGCATCACACAGCTGCGTGAGATACAAAGATAATTCATTGTTCCTGCTCTCATGAAGTTTACAATCTTCTAGGTAATACTGGAAAAGGAAGTAGAAACCATAGTGAAGTAAGTATAGAGCTAGCAGAATCTTATATCAATATAGGCAATTTCTAATTTAAAGGTTAGATTGGGTGGTAGGAGCCAGACTGAACAATCTGAGGCTGGATTTCCAAATGTCACACATATCCCAGAATTGTAGAGCACTAGAGCCAGAGGCAAGAAGACCTCCATTTCAATCCTGCCTCAGACACTTACTAGCTGTGTAAACCTGAGCAAGTCCCTTAACTTTTCTGGGCTTTAGTTTCCTCATCTGTAAAATCATATTTCCACTCTTTTCTCTGGGTTTGATCTAAATCACAGGAAATCTTTATGAGTAGGAGAGCAAGGGAATGTCCCTGAGGTAATAATGATAGTAATAGGTTACATTTATATAACTTGGCAATTTGCAAAGTGCTTTGTATACATTTTCTCACTTAAGGTCTTATTTTCCCTGGGGCAGACACTGGAATTTGGGGAACCCAAAGCCCCAAATGTGACTGAAGGGGAATGGAAGATCTTGAGAACTGATGAGGCCTAAGTCTCTAAGGTTTAGTTCCTATGGAGGTCAGAGTATATTTCAGCTTGAACTCAAACATTTAATTCTGGTTATTTAGGAAAAAACTTTGTTAATACAAATTTCCCCCTTTGAAGTTAGGAGAGAAAAACATTTCAGATGGGAAGATACCACAAGAAAAAAGACTCCCACAAAATCTCAGTGCCCCCCAGCCAAGGGCCAGTGAGAATCTGGAACCCTCACCATCTGCTAGCTTCCTTCTCTGCATTCTGTTCTGCTGATGAATTCCTTATATGATGAGTCTGTTTTTGCAGATGAAGAAAAAAAGGAGCTAGAATTTAAGTGCCTCACCTAAGGCCGTATGATGTCAGGGGCTCTTCCTTTCAGGGTCTCCTAAACTCTGCTCCTTCCACTAGATCCCAAGTTGTTTGAGGAGGTGGTGGTCTTAGGAGGTGGAGTTGGGGATGGGCCAACAATTTATCTGTGTTGTCATCCATTAATGCTAATACATCAATTTCCTCCCATTAACGGAGAGGTTAGAATTAGTGTGTTAAAGGAATATCACACCAAGCAAATCGTGTTAATTGATTGATCTTCAGAGGGGGGGAGGTCACTTGAGTGATATTAGGCAAACCAGGTTTGAGCTTGCCTAAGTATGCCATAGTTTTCTTGAATATTCATGAATATCATTAACTACCCTTTAGCTCTACAAAGCCCATGATTTTTAATCTTAAGCAGCAATTGCAAACTTTAGAAATGTCAATCTCATATCTGTCTTTAGGGTTTTTTTTTCACTTGGAAAACCTCCAGCCTTTGTCAAACTCATGTCTGAAAATGTATCTAAAAATATAAATTTGAGGGTTTTTGTTTTGTTTTAGTTTGGGGGGTTTTTTGTTGTTTTTGTTTGTTTGTTTTTGCTTTATAACTTGGGGGCTACCATTAGAGCCTGTCAGTTTCTGCCATGAAAGGTTTAATGGGAATACAATGGAAACTGCATTCAGAGCTTGTCCCTGCAGCCTGGTTGGAAATATGAACAGTTTGACCAGTGATATTTCAAACCCAGCAAAACACATCTTCAATTTTCCAAACACAGAGGCCGAGCTAAATGTTAGTTTCTTTACCTGTTTTGCAGACTGCAGGTTCAAAAGCTCTCAATGTCTGCCTCTGAATCAAACCAGCTGGAAACCAGCTTCATAAACAGAACTTGCCTTCCCTCACTTCTAGACTGCACATTTCTTCCCTTTCAGTCCTGCATATTAACAGCAGCCAAAAATTAAAATAGCATTTCATCCTGTGTGGCCTTCATCAGATGAGGCCAGTGGGTTTGATAGAAGCATGAGAGAAATATTTAAACTGGGTCAAAACACAAATTTTAAACAAATTTTAAGTTTTAAAAATTTTATACCCATCAGGAAAAATAAAATAAAATGCAAATTTAAACTAAAGAATAAGATATTACATAAAACCCTTCGGTTTCAGCAGGGTGGAATCGAATGAATTAATAGTCCACAAAGAAGCAAAAAAAAAAAAAGATGCTTTTGCTCTGAATCTCCTATCTAGATCTATCTAAAGTACTACTAATCTGGCTTTGTTTTCTTTATTTTCCCTTCTTTTTAAAAATAAAGTTGCAGTCCATTCTATTCAACAAATGTTTATTAATTACCTGGTGTGTTCAAGGAGAGTACTGGGCTGGGTGCTGAATATTTAAAAAAAAAAAAGCACTTGGTCTCAAGATGCTTACTTTCTATCAGGGTGAATATGTATTCAGTTCTGGTAGATCTTCCCACACTTCCTTTTATGCTTCATTTTTATCATTTTGGAAATATACCACAATTCTGCCATTCTTCAATTTTGTACATACCAGTGACTTCTAGATGTTTGTTGCTACAAATAGAGCACCTGTGAATGATTTTAAACAAAATAGGTCTGGTTTTTCCTTTATCATATTTTTAGGATGAAGTTCTAGCAATTAAATTTCTGTATACAATCAGTTTTGTGACTCACTATATTGCAAAATAATTTTTTGATGGACAAACAGGCTTGAGGTAAAAGTGAATGAGGTGAGTGGGGCTGGAAAAAATAACAAAGGAATCACTTTGTCCAAAACCATTTGTCCTCTTCTCTTTCCTCATGCTTCACCCTGAAGAACATTTGAAAAAATTACGTATGTATGTATGCATGCATGCATCATGTGTGTAATATAGGTAAAGCATATGTGAACATATACTTTGTATATAAAGTATATATGAAAATATATGTTGTGTATAGTTTATGTCAACATATACTTTATGTATAAAGTGCATGTGAATATAATGCATCTATGTATATATACATTTACTATAATGTGTAGATCGTGTAAATGGCTAAAAGACTTAATGATCTTGGGGCAAACCTACAGTTATTGACCTTGGAAACCATTAAGGAAAGAGTCTCTCAAAAATAAAGATACTACTCATAACCCATTTATAAGATGTCTGGCTTTACAAGCATTGCTGCACCTGAGACTCAACCAATCCTGTGAAAAAGGTAAGATAAGTATAAGGTCCATTTTACAGATGAGGAAAATGAAAGATCAAATGAATTGTGCCCATGGATAATAAGGATTACCTTGTTATCCATAACCTGCACTTTCTGTTGTCATAGAAAGACTCCATTTGGGTTTTTGTTGGTTGTTTTTTGTTTTAAATTTTAAGGAGCCCAGTTTTAGGGATTGGTGTGTTGGCTATTTCAAGTACAGTAACGGTCATACATTATTAGGCGTTATCGGTGTTTCTGTTGTTTTATGGATGCTCTATCTAGACAGTTGTTTTCTACACAACACAGTCTTGTAGTTGTCAGGCCTGCATAGTATCACAAGCCACAGTTACTAAAATGGATTTGATTCTGCCCACCAGCAGCCAAATAATCAGTAAGAAGCTAGGTTATTGACTGTGAGGTTAGATGCTGCCAGGTCACACAGCTCAATTTTTAGGTAGTGAGTGGGGGCAGGGGAAAGCCTGTAGTTTGTTTATTGTGTAGATTTGATGCACAAGTCACTCAAGGAGGATCACACTGCTCTTGGGGATATCAGAGGTTTGTTTCACGTGTTATAGCAGAGTAGAAGAGATAGGGCCCTTCCCGGCATATCTGGTGAATGCGTGTTTTCTTTAGTGGAGCACAGAAGATGAGGAGAGAATGGAAGGGGGTGTCGTAGAAGCTGGGGTTGCAAGGGCCGCGCTCCTCCTGTGAGCCAGACCTCTCTTCTCATTCCCCTCTTTCATATTACTGTAGAACATGGGATGAATTCCTTCCTCCACTCCCTTCCAGCCTCCCACCCTGGGGCCTGTAGTGCTGCTTTCTTCGAGCTGTGTAACAGGAGTGCTAGGAGGCGGGGCACCAGCTCCTAATGGGTGGAGGCTTGGGGAAAGGAAGAGCCCTGTAGACATTGGAAGGGAATCGAAATGATTGATGGTGGTTTGGGCAGTTTGGGAAGGGGGGAGCGAAAGGGGGAGGGATGAAGTAAGGGGGAGAGTCAGGAGAAGGGGGAGGAGGGAGGAGATGGAGAGAAGAAGGGGGGTGGAGAAAGGGGGAGGAGGAAGGGGAGGGAAGGAGGGAGAAAATCTTCAATCTTTCAGTACTGCCTGAGGTGGACTAGTTCCTCCTCGCCTTGCTGCTCCTGGTGGAGGAGCAAGTCTTAGCTTTTTCTGCTGAGTGATTTATTTTTCCTTTTCCTTTTTTTCCCCTCTTTTCTCTTTTTACAAAAGCTCTTCTTCCAGGGAGAGGATAGTGGTAAAAGACCGAGCTGGATGGATGGGTATGGGGAGAGGGGCAGCACCTACAGCCCTGGGATTCTTGCAGACCCTCGTTGTCTTTCTCTGCATCTTCCCTGCAGGTAAGGAAGAATTCTTTTGCTTGGATGATGGACTGAAACAGTCCCGAGCCCAGTGGTGTGAGGCTGTTTCCCGGGCCCTCCTGCAGCCGTTTGCCACATGTTTGAAAGCTAGTTAGTTGGTGAATCTTAAGCTTTCTAAACACTCTCAATAGTTTGTTTCTCTTCTCCCCTTAGTCTTTGTTTCTCTCCATTTTTCTCCTGCATATCTTTCCCCACACTACTTATACATTCGTCATTTAGAAAAGGAAATAGTTGATCCTCTTATGGATAGGGAGAGAGCTAGCTATGGGAAGGAGCATAGCCGTGCTATTATTCTAAGATGTGGAAAAACAACTCTTCCTGAGACCAGTGCTAGTGCATGAAGAAGAGTAAGAAGCTTTGAGTGATGTTTTGAGAAACTGGGCTTTAATAGTGACAGAAATAAGAAGATAGACAATCTAATATTTTCTGTCTCAGTTTTGAAAGTTAGGTTGTGGTTTGGAAGTTCCCCCAATTGGGGGCGAAGGGGGTAAGAAGGCGGCAGTGAGGGAAGCTTTGTAATCACTCTAGAAAATAAAGAGTCATATGCTGATTAACTCTTTGTTTTCTTGATTCATCTTTGCCAAGAAACTTTGGTCTGAATGGTATGGAGATTTTACGTGTGCATTACCTCTGTTGGGGTGCTCACCCTTCAACTCAATTAGAAAACTCTGGGGATGCCTCTGCTCTAGGTTTGGAAGCCCTCTCAGAAATAAACAGTAGAAGTCTATAGTAGACACCTTAGAGTTTTTTCTTCCGTGTGTTCTTCCCTGTGTCCCAATATCCCCCTTCAAACCACACACCTCAGTGCCCTTACATTCTCTCCTCACACGCACTTGCCCATTCAGGGAGGTTACAGTCTCAGCTAAAAACAGACTAATCTTTTTGTTTGATAACATTTAGAGTTGCCCCTGTTTGTTTGTATTGTGTCAGAAAGGGAGAGAATTTCAGAATTAAAGCTGAAAAAGCCCATCTGTTTCCAATGAATCCCCCATAGTTTTTCACAATGTTTTTGGCAGATCCCTGCCTTCAAATTCCTCCGAGCCCTGAGCTCTTGTTTTTGTTGGGGGAAGGGAGACCAACTCCACAGAGGGGGATTTGTTCCTTCCAAAACTCTCCGGTTTCTTTACCGCTTTTTTTTTTCTTAAAAAGCACGAAACTTAAATCCCATGGTCTGTTTTCTTTTTAATGTTTCATAAAACTTTATTTCATTATTTCATTTTTGCCACATGTTGTTCAGAGCTTGTACACTCCAGCTAAACTTTTTAATGCCCATTTCTCTTTTGCTAAAAATACAAACAGAAAGCATTGGCATCCAAATCTAGGGGCTGTTCAGATTCATTGTGATGTTTTAGTTCTTGTTTCTTTACCTACCTACCCCCCCAAAAAAAAAGTTTTCTTAAGAGCTTTTGAGGTCAGATGCATTTCTAAAGCAGCAAAACTGCTTTCTACTGCCTCTGCTTCAAGATCAATTAAATACTGTACAAGAAAGAACTTGGTATTAGGCTTTTGGGTTTTTTTGTTTGGTTGGTTGGTTTGGTTTGGTTTTTCTCCTCGACAGCCAAATATGTTTCAAGGAACTGGCAAAACTGGGAAATCCAGACTCTTTGTAGCTAGCTGGTCACAGTATTGCACACTCCATGTGCTTCATCTCAAGTGGGGGTTGGGGAGGTGGGAGTGTAATCAGTACACCCCACTCCACCCCACCCCTATTCTCTTCCTTCTTCAGTTCATGCAGCAGATGTGCTCCCCTTAGAGGTGGCACAAGACTGAGATGGAGTTTTCAACCTATTTCCTAAAGCCAGACTCATTTAAGAAAGCTTGACCATAAAGATGTGCTAGGTGTCCTGTATGGACCCAGTTTTGAAAGTCAATGCCCCAGAATAGCCTCTGTCCATGCCCCACCAATTCCTGTGTATTCCTTGTTGAATAAAATCAATACCCTGTTCTCTAAGGATCTGGATGGCTCTCTTTTTCAGAGGGCACGATTATCCCCACCCATACTCCAGGGTCCAAGAAAAGAAAGTGATCCAATTCCCTGCCAAGAAATGAGAAAGATGGTCAGCTCTTTTTTTTTTAAGTGCTCCTTTCTCAGAAGTAGAAGTTTGTAGTTCACATGCATCTGGGCAGTTTAGTCTCGATAAAGATCCAACCCATTGGAAGTTTATCAGATAGGTTGATAAATGGCTTTTGTCTCTTAGCTGCAGTGGGGGATGTGATCTCAGCTCTAAGTTGAAATTGAGAAGTGGGCTTAGAGGCTGTTAAAACAACACCTTCCAGACTCTTAAAGTGACAGCACTTATTAAGGTCCTGGTTAAGGAGATAGAGAAAGGTGGCAGAATGTTTCTTAGTTGTGACAATACTCGTGAAATGGAGTAATGGAGAGTGAATTTTTCTTTATGCTGGCAGAAGGTAATTGAGAAATTTCCGATTTTTAAATTGGTTTTATCATTGTTCTGAAACACACCATTTCTCTTGTGTTCCAAGATTAATAACTAAAACCTGGCAAATATTACAGATAGCTTTTCTGTTGCTTTCCTGTAGTTTTTGTTTTATTTTTCACCCTTATTTGTGGCCTTTAACAACTGCATAAAGCCAAAGGTGGCCACATTACTGATGACTGAACTGTAGAGATCTAAGAACTAAATAACCTGGGGGTTCTGAGTTTCATTATCAGGAGACCTTGGTCAAAAGGCTGGTTTATTTAATGAGAGGAATTGGGTGGCTAACTTCCAGCACAAAAAAGACAAAGTTTCTTATTCTTGGCATTGTTCTACCCCTTTGGCTTAAGAGAGGGCAAGGTCTGGAATTGTGTCGGGAAGGCTACAGGTCAGGAGTTTGAAGCCTGAGGGGAGAAGAGCTGGGGTTTCATTGATTGGGTTTCATGCAAGCCCTGTGAACAAAGTAAAAACCTTTGCTCCCCCACTTCTGAGCCCTCCACATAGTTACATCTTCCGCCCCACTGTTACAGTGGACCTAAGATAGAAAGGACACTGACCCTGAGGTAGAAACTCAGACATTTGCAGCCAAGGGCTATAAGAATAAGTTTGAATGGTTTACTAAATTTGTGTGCATGCAAGGATTAGACTCAGGTGTACAAATAACATTGGACACAGTTGGGTAGATAAAGATGTCTTTGCTTCTACCCATACTACAACTTACTAGCCTTATCCAACACCATTGTTCCCTTCTTTCATTAAGACCTAATTGTACTTAATAACAAGTTCTCATATTTTAAGTTTGAGAGGCAGAATGTTATAGTGGTTAGGGAGACAGCCTTAAAGCCAGGAGGACCTAGGTCTTCCAATTCTAAAGTCTTCCAACTCTGCTACATACTAGCTTCATGATCCTGGGTATATCACTTAACCTCTCAAGGCTCCAGACCACTTTCCCAAATAACAAATTCCACAGAAGGGACTGACTTGTTCTTGCTGAAGAAGAACAGTATATGGGAGTTTCCTATAACAATTAAATCACAGATCCTGTCGCTATCCCTAAGTTTTAAAAACTAAAATGACTTTTACGTTAAATAATGGAAGTTTAGAACAGAAATCTAGTGACTATTGGCACAGTCCATATTCTTGAATCCATGTTTAATTCTTTACACAGTTTCCCTCTGCCCTCTCAGCTCCAAGTATTTTTAGAAATGTTAGTCCTCCTTGGGGAAATTGAGGCACACTGAAGCATAGCCTTTCTATGATATCACTGTTGGACTTGCTCTGATTAGTCCCAATAGGCAGAACTAGGACCAGTAGGGTAAAAGTTAAAGACCTAGTCTCATTGTGGAGAATGACATCTTTAACAATTAGAGCTGTCTAGATATGGAATGAACTGCCTTGGGAAGTAAGTCATTCCAAGTCACTGGAGTTCTTCAGGCAGAGGCTGGGGAACCACTTATTTATCACAGGGATGTTGGAGAGGAAGGGGAATCACCATAGGGAGGAACTGGATTTCATGGCCTCTGGATTCCAACTCTGTGATGCTAGGATAGTCCTACCACCTAAAGATGACTGTGGACTCCAATAAACCTGCTTACCAAATCACTGTTGCCCCAGGAGGAGTTTGTTTATATAGCAAAGGGGTAGTATTAAATTATGTCCAATTGCAAAACCAGATGTTCAAAATACAGCAGCAGAACAACCTTTTTCCTATGCAACACAAACTCCCAGAAGCACATCCATGGTACTACTTTGTACACTCCTGCCAGCTACATATGCTTGCAGGGGGTATAATAACAAATTTATGCAGACAGCACTTTGCCATACTCAGGACCTAATAGTGAGGTCAGACAGAGAGGTTTGACTACGAAGATATTGTAGTCTCTCTGTGAGGATTGTGGGACTGATTTTTGCAGTATGATATGTATAGGTAAAAAGGTAGAAATCTAAGTAAATGGTGTGTCTGGGAATGTGTGCCGGATATTGAAGCAGAGAACAGTCATCAGTGAATGATTTTGAGTACCTCAGATGTGGTAAGCATTCTAACAGATGGTATAAACTCAACAGGTCCAAAAGGGAACTGATTATCATCATCCATCTTGCAAAACTCTCAAGGTTCTGAATTCCAGGTACCTTGTTTCTGTCTTTGTTGGTGTCATTCCCTCTGCCTGAAATGCACAGTTCTCTCTCTTTATCCAAGTTGGACACTTCATTTAAAGCCTAGCTAAAGTCTCAGCTCCTGCCTGTAGCCTTCTTGAACTGTTGTGCTTATAATTAGTTTATCCCTAAATTATTCTCTAATCGCTTAGCATGGTTTTGAACTCACAGTCTAAATAGGAAACAACATGTTGAAGACAAAAAGCATGTTTTACATGTCAGAAATAGACAAATTTCAGAGAAAAGATAAACTAAAAGTTGATTGATTTTGAGTTATGAGACTGTGAATAGGTAAGAAAGAAATTATAACGGGGGGGGGGATAAATAGAATGGGAGAGGAGGGATTTAGAACTTTTTCCTGGGGTTTAGCTTCCTAGTACCTTCCTG